TTGTTTTATTTATATCAAATGCGTCTGATGGAGCTTGGCTTTATCAGGTCATTGTCTGTTCAAAGTCAGTGACTCGGCATTGTTAAAAGGAAAAAAAATGGTTTGAGTCAGTGATCAGATTGTTTTTGTTTTGACGTGTTTTGCTAGTTTTGTTTTTGTAACTATGGTGTGAAAGTTAATATTCTAGCTGACATTTTCTTGTGGCTGAATGCGGATTATACTGGGACGAGAAATTGAACGAATTTGTTTAATAAGCGGACAACAGTGGTTGTGCAATGTAATCCCAAGTTATTGTTACCTAACTTCAACATATTAATCCTACATTGCTTGAACTTTACTTTCCATCATAATTTTTTTATTTTGACCGAGACCAGCTAGGTAAAAACGTTAATAAGATGTACAGCAACTCACCTTTGGGTCAGTGGTTTATGTACATCATCTGTTAGTCGGTCATATGTTGCACCCAAATCCTATATACTACCGTTTAAGCAATGTGGTGGTATCTATAGCGCCACCAAATGCACTGGTACTGCTGACAGTGGAGAGAGTCAGCTCTTCCTCTCGAAGTGTCTCACATGGCCACGCGTATACAGCCTCTGCCAGGGAAGTCCTCGTGGCGGGGGTGTTGTTTACGAAATCGAGAGGACGAAAAACACATGTCCTCTGCTTTAATCAGGTTGGTGGACACGGAGAACCCACCCAGGGGAGTTGGAAAACCCTGATTTTTAACGACTGATGCACATGGGCTCCACGATCCTGACGGAACAAATGGTGTATGGACCAATTTTCGGCCTCTGGATAACATGGGACTGCATCTCCTTAAGATGGTCCACTTCCTTGTGGATCACACCTTTAGGTCGAAGGTTCCGGGTGTGGTCCCTTAAGAAAACCACCTGCTTCAGTTTGGGCACTCAGGCAGTATCATAGCCCTTACACAAATCGAATGTCAGTCAGTCAGTCAGCTACAACGTAGGACCAGGCACATATGTGCATCGGTCCAGGTTGCCATACCGCATCAGCACAAGATGAACACCGGATTCATAGCAGTGGTTAGGTCAAAGGTGGTAATATATAAGAGAAAGATTGCATATAGAGATATATTACAAGAAGAAAGAATTGGTTCGTAGAAAGAAAGATATGAAGTGATTTTAATCTCTTAGTTTAAGGAAAGACAGGGAGTGTATACACCGACGCCATTGTGATCGATTCTGAACCATGTCACCAAGAGTCTCCAACCATTGGTTATGATAGTCACGCGGACCCCAACCAAGTAGTCTGCATCTACCAACATGGCTCAGACTAGAAGTTAGTGACTTCAAGCACTGATGCCACGTTTTGGTTTGGCCGCCCCTAACTTTCTTCCAACCATCTCCAATACCGGATAGCATTGCACTTCGTGGTAATCGGTGTTCAGGCATACGTAGCACGTGGCCCAACCATCTCAGTCGATGAAGATTCATAACCTCATCAACTGACTTACCATTATTCCCTAATACCCTGCGTTTAACCTCACTATAACTTACCCCGTGATCACAGCAGACGCCAGCAATATTTCTAAGTCATCTGTGGTCAAATACTAATAGCTTACGAGTGTATTCTACTCTTAATGGCCATGTTTCGCTGCCGTAAAGTAAAACAGAACGGACTGCCGTGCAGTATACTCGTCCTTTTATTGACAGACGGATATCTCACCTTCGTCAAAGGTGACGTAAGTTGGTAAAAGCCAAACAAGCTTTCGAATCCGTGCTGAGATTTCGTCCGATATCAACCCATCATGGCTGATCAGACTTCCAAGATAAGTGAAGTTGTCAACGCGTTCGACTACTTCACTCCCTATCCTTAGTTCAGGTGTTTACGCAGACCAGTCCTGAAGCAACAACTTGCATTTCGAGGGAGAGAAGAGCATTCCAAACATTCTGGCATTGCTGCTTAGTGCTACCAAAAGACTTTGCATTTTGTCAGCGTCTTCACCAAACAGGACTATATCATCTGCGTATTCTAAGTCGATAAGTCGACCTCCTGGATGGAGATCAATACCCGAGAACTCAGTCGACGAGAAAGTTATTTCCATCAGTAGATCTATGATGAAGTTAAACAAAAATGGGGAAAGTGAACAGCCTTGACGGACACAACTTGAGGTTGCAAAAGTAGATGACAGTTCGCCATAAGCTCTGACTCAACTAGTAGTGTTTGAGTAAAGAGCCTTCACAAGGTTCATGTACTTCTGGGGTACGCCTTTCAATGACAAACACTGCCACAGAATCTCGCAGTCTACCGAGTCAAATGCTGCTTTTAAGTCGAGAAAGACCACCATTGTCGGACGCCGTTAAGTATGCCCGTGTTCTAGAATCTGACGAATGGTGAATATGTGGTCGATGCAGCCACGACCCGGTTTGAAGCCAGCTTGAGTCTGCATATTTTCATAATTTTATTTGTTACACTTGAAATGGTCATTTGGTAAAAATGACGGGTCATTTTATTGTCTCAGTGACATTAAGAATGTTGTCAAAGTGAGAATAGAGTTCTGGGAAACCATTCAATCACCAGTTTAATGGATACTCATGGGGTATTAGATGAGGTTGATGTGCGCTTACTTTCCCCTAGATTCCTCTCCATCCATGAGATGGTTTCTCTGGTAGCATTAGATGCTTAATATGTGAGTTTACAAGTAGTTGCAAAGCTACATATATTTCATAGATGCATAGAGTTTTCTTGACTATATGTGTGCCTATGGTTGTGTTGAACGGATTCTATGCACAGTAAATGCAAATGAACAAGTCCAATCACTCGTTGTGGTTATAAACGTTCGTTGACTTAAATTACTAAATCCATTTTAAGACAGGTTAGATTCATTCGTATTCAAAACAGATATGACTCATGTGCTACATGAGAATTTATAACATTGCTAAATTGCATCATATTATCAATATTACTCTGGTGTCATACTGCTCTGTTTTCAGCAATTTTGTCTAAAAATCACTCTGAATACCCACATGATTTTCACTCTTGTTTAGAAAATCATTTTTCTCAACTTGGTTACACTGTCAACTAATAGACAATGCTTTCCTTTTTTAATCATAAGGTTTGGGTATGCTGTCTACCTTACCGACTTAAATAACGTTTTTTAAAACTTCTTTTGCCATTTCAGGTATCTTTGCACGTTTTGTTACAAACAAGTCTTGATATTCACTCAACATAAGAATATTAGTTTAAGAACGGTTGGAGGATTTACAAATTAATAACACACACAAGTTTTCATGAACAAGCTCTGGAGATATCATCTGAGTTATAGTACACAAAGCAGGGCACAAACTATTGTGTACCATGCTCAGTGAACCTGCTTCCCCATACGCATTTTGTAAAGATTTGCAGAACCTAATCATTGTAACAGAAGAGCAAATCATTTCACCTTTGCGCAAAGAGTTAAAAAGAAGTGATGAACATTCCGAAATTTTATCACTTGAGATACAAGACGCTGAGGTAATTTGGTGAATATAGTGCAATTTCCGTTATAGAATAAAACTTTTGAATATTTAGCCCAGCAAATTTCAGCTATTTGTAATGCTGATGAAGATACAGCTAATGCCATTCTGCGTGAATATCCAAAATCGGAAGTTTGCTTTCGATGTCTCGGTATAAATGATGACACTATACAGGTAAGTGATGAATGTCTTCAGATTTTCATACGTATCTCTAGGGCCTTCTTCGTATTCGTGGTATTGGCTTTCTACAATTGTTAGATATGCCTGACAGTGAAGTGAGAACAATCTTACAAAATTATGGTGATTATGGTGAGGAAGTTGATCATGTACTTGCTGGTCTTGCAAAAATACGCGGGAATATTGATCTCATTGAAAGTGACTTAGCATTTGAAGATGATACCAGGAACTTAATCAAATTGGTGATGCGTTTGTCTGACGATGATTCTCAAGTTGAAGAAGTAAACAATATCCTTAATGCTCAAATTTACGAAGAAAGAAAGGATCCTCGTATACCTCCCTTATATGTTACTGGCCCTGAAGATTCTCCTTTTATTAACAAGGAAATGTCTGCACAAAACTCGTCTCATAAAAATACCAAAGTAGTTGTTTGCTCTCATTTAGAGCACGATACATCCTGTGGAAATCTTATTAGCCATTCCAATTCCGATAATATTAATACATTTAAAACTGGTTGTGATGTCAACTACAATGGCTGTAGTTCGTTTACTTCCCCACATGCTTCCAGTTGTATCACCATAAATAGTCCACAGAATGTCACAAATAAATCTGAATCCGGAAAATTGTCCAAAACTGATTTTAAGACATTTAATCTCTTCCCGGGTATATCTGATTCGAATATTCCTTCAGAAGTTGATCTACATAATGGCGGGCTTTCAGTACCTTCTACTCCCATTTCTTATAAATTATCCTCGACCATTTTAACACCCTCAAATCTTTTTAAAGCAGGCCGTCATACACTACCAAATGAAGTAATCTCACTTTCTCCCGGTGGGCGTCGAGCAGGCAATCATTCGTCTCGAGATCGCGAGCATCAAACTCGTCAGGCAGGGACTCCGCCGCCCAAACATCGTTTAAGATTTTCTTCTCCGCTTCATCGTAGCAAGTCTCATGAGTCTAATCTTGCCAATCGTATTATTTTACCTGCCCTCCCAAATGTACCACAGTTCCACCAAGAAACAAACTCTTCCTGTTATATCAGTAGACCACAACTATTTTTATATAATCCGATTTTCCCAGACGCCTCCAGTAATTTACACAACGATTATTTCAATTATTCTGAGTGTATAAATGGCGGTCGACCGTGTATAACTACTACTCAATGTGGTGTATGTATTAACAGCGATGTTATTTCAAATGGGAATAAAAGTTTCAACATTTTATCATACTTGTTCCATTAGTGATAGTACTTCCACACTTGTCACAAGTCCACGTACCTACGATTAAGGTCGACGTGTGTCTTGTGAATATCGACCATCAAAGACTAATTTACAACCTTCAATGACTACATCTGCAGATAGTGATAATTTATTAGGTAGGTTTTTTTAAATGACATTAGGCATATCTACTGCTTTATGCCTTTTTTCTACACTTATATATTTCGTAAAAGAAAAGGTATATATTGATCATAATTTCTGTTAGGAAACTTTCGAATTTTCGAGCTCAATGAATATTCCATTCATATTACTTCATGAATAGTTGTAAATCAGTATAATGAATTCATAGTTATACTGGATTTTTCGATAAACTGTTAAATATTTTATTCTAAGCACTAAAAAAGTCATTAGCTTTGTAGTCATCTTGGTTATATATTTGAGTAGTAAACTTCAATGGTGGTTGCAATGTAAACTTTTGACTTGTAATCATTCAGTGAAAAAAAAGATTTATGAATTGAACCTAGTGCTATTCAGTACTCAAAATATATTTATGACTTCACCTATCGGAAGTATTATGTGACTTACAGTAACGTTTAATGGTTCATTACACTGCTTAATGAGGAATAATTTTTATCTACCGATGTATAATTGTCAGTACTGGACTCTTCCCTAGTTCCTGGTTATTCTATATATCTGGTGACTGATTTTTTGTGGTATTGTGCAACATCGTGATTTCTTGTGTAAATAGCTTTGTAATTGTGGACTTTACATGAGTTTCACATTTGTTCACGGATTACTTTCTACACCTGTTCAGCTAGGTTGGCGAAAACCAACGACCTTTTTGAATTCAAACTGAGATTTTGTCGGACACTAAACGGCTAGGGCTGACGAGAATCCAACGTTAGTTTATGCCTATAATGTTAATCATAGTTTATCGTACAAAACGTGTTTATTTCGTAAGGTGAATATCTTTGTAGTTTTGCATTCGTATTTTGTTCTTATTGTTTGATTAAATACACCTTTTTTAACACTGCGACTTTGCTTTGTAGGCATTTTGTGAGTGAAGTTCTTTTCGAAATAAGTTGCTGAAGCTTGATCTTACGTAGATTGCATTGCGTTTTTCATTAAGGTGACTTTCACAAAAGGTTTTGTCTCCTAGTATTTAGAGCTTTCAAAAGAGTTAACTGAAATATACTGTGGTATGACCTTGAATGACTTTTCAAGCAGTTAGAAGTGATTTTAGTTATGATGCAAGTTGTGATATAAATGTCAGTCAGTCAGTCATTAACAACGTAGAACTTCATACATACGTACATCAGTTCGAGTTGCTACACCACATTAGCACAGAGATGCAGTTGTCGACTCAAATTCCGTAGTAGTATAGGTAGTATAAGCAGTAATCGGAAACATTAAGGCTTGATGTTATTCAAGTAATACAATCCAGTGAAATAAATTTGGAAAGAAAATAAGGGACATAAAGAATTCAGAAGATTAAAATTTGGGAGAATACAAAGAGTGGATGCACTTGTGCCATTGCAGACGATTTTGAGCCATGTCATTCAGGGTCTCTAACCATCGGTTGCTATCATCTCGCGGTCCCCAACCACGTAGTCTACACCTACCAACATGACTCAGTCCACTTGTCAGTGACTCCATGGACTTGTACTATGTTTTGGTCTGGCCGCCCCTAGCTTTCTTTCAAACCAAAAGGCGGCCTGCTTGAATATCTGGGCTACCTGTTCCTCCGATCTACATATTTCATCACGTTGTCTGTTTTGTTGCTTGTTTTAGTTCATCATTATGTCCATTGTGCACACAATCTATTCAGGCGCGTTTATGAAAAGTTTACAACCTTTCGCTATACGTGATACAAAAAGGTACAATCATCGACATCATGGTGGCTGGCAATATGCATTGAAACGAACGAACATTAATCAAATGTGGATTACCGAACTCCTAACATCTAACCGGTCATCATTCAAAATTTATCGTCACAATAGATCAAGGTATAAGAAAAGGAAACTTGTTGAAATACTTTATGCTGAGAATTCTATGTTGTACCAAAAATATAATGTTGAATAAAGCTTCTAATAATATAATATAATATAATACCACTGAACATCGCACGTCGAGGCAGTCGGTGGTTGAGCATATGTAACACGTGTCCCAGCCATCTCAACTGATGAAGTTTTCCCACTTCATCAATTGCTTTGCCATCCTTACCTAGTACCCGTTTCCTAACAACTGCATAACTTACTCTATGATCTCAGGATATACGAGCAATGCTTCAAATACTATTAACCTACGAATATCCTCTACTCTTACCGACCATGATTCACTGCCATAAAGTAGGACGGAAAGAACTGCTGCGCAGTAAACACGTCCTTTGGTTGATAGACGGATATCTCGCCCACGCCATAAATGACACAATTTGACAAAAGCTAGTCGAGCCTTCTGTATCCGTGCTGAGATTTCGACACACACCAGGCCACAAGGGCTGATGAGACTTCCGAGATAAGTGACGCGGTCGACACGCTCAACTACTTCACTCCCTATCATTAGTTCGGGTGTTAATGCAACCCAATCCTGAAGCAACATTTTGCATTTCGCGAGGGAGAATTGCATGCCGAACGTGCTTGCGTTGTTGCTTAGAGTGGTCAGAAGACTCTGCATTTTGTCAGCGTCTTCACCAAATAGAACTATGTCATCGGCATATTCCAAGTCAACAAGTGAATCTCCCGGTAGAAGTTCAACCCTCGGAAATTTAGATAAGGAAGGTGTTATCTCTAAAAGCACATCAACGACAAAGTTAATCAAGAATGAAGAGAGTGGACAGCCCTGACGAACACCACTTGAGGTAATCAATTCTGATGACAGTTCGCCATAAGCTCTCACTCTACCAGTTGTGTTCGAGTAGAGAGCCTGTATAAGGTTAATGTACTTCTTTGGTACTCCTTTCAGTGACAAACACTGCCATAGAACCTTACGATCAACAGAGTCGAATGCTGCCTTAAGGTTGAGAAATACTACGATTGTGGGGCGTCTGAACGTGTGTCTGTGTTTTACAACCTGATGTGTGAATATCCGGTCTATACAACCACGTCCAGGTCTAAAACCAGGCTGATGTTTTCTAGTTTGTTCTTCACGAGCTTTGGTTAGGCTCCGAAGTATTATTGAAGCTAATATTTTATACACTATATTAGTCAAACTGATTCCTCTGTGATTGTCACAAGAGGACTTTTGTCTTTTCTTATAGACTGGTACAGTCAGTGATTGAGACCAGTCAGATGGGATAACGTCCAGTTCCCAAATTCTACCTAAGACCTCGGTTAATCTCATTGCTAATACTGGACCACCATCCTTAAAAATCTCAGGAGTAAACCTGTTAGGGCCTACTGCTCTCCTTCGTTTCAGATTTCCTATGGCTTTTTCAACTTCGTAAAGGGACGGAGGACTTACATTAACTTTCCATTCAGGTTGATTAGAGATCGTGGGAAACCGAAGTGTGGCTGAAGGCCAGTTGAACTGACCCCTGAAGTGTTCTGCCCATCGATCCAATCTCCTGGGTTGAGAATGTATAATATGTCCATCTTCCTCTGAGAGTGTTTCGCTAACAGTCGGTTTCCTAATACCGGTTTCCTTAACAAGTCTGAACAATTGTCTGCTATTACCTATTGCCGCTGCCTTCTCCATCTCTCTTGCTTTCGCTACCCACCACTGTTCGCGATCATTGCGTAGACTTCTTGTCAGCTTGCGCTTAAGCTGACTCCGCTCTTCACTATGTTCAGAGCCAGGTGGAATGAGTTTCCGAGCATCTATCAGTGCGATAGATGCTGCTGAAATCCAGTGTTGCTCTCTAACCTTCTGGTTTACCTTACTAGCAGATACCACTACTGTTTCCACAGCTTTTCGGATATCATTCCATGCTGCATCGGGGTGGGCATCACATACATGGCTGCCTAACTGTTTTCCTAGTTGTTCCTGAAATATACTCTTAGCTTGACTATCATTAAGTAGGCCCCTAAGAGGTTTCCTTGCAGCGTCTTTCCTACGTCCAGTAAGACGCAAGCAAATACGCGCTCGCACTAGAGGATGATCTGAATCTAAGCATGTGCTCCAGAATGAGCGACAGTCTTCTATAGAGCCCCTCCATCGGTGGCTGATAGCGATGTGATCTATTTGGGTCCAACGTTTGGACGAATTAGGGGGTCGCCATGTTAAAAGATGTTTTTCCTTATGCTTACAGTTGGTATTTGCGAGGAACAGGCGATTATCTGAGCATAGCTGCAACAGACGGTCGCCATTATCTGTTCTTTGAGCCACGACACCATAAGATCCACCTAGGTGTCTTTCCCTATCGCTTAGTTTACCTACTTGAGCATTAAAGTCACCGGCCACTACTACTACATCAGAGCGCCTAGCTTTTTGGACAAGCTTTCTGTAGAGCTCATCTTTTACATCTGAGCTGCAGTCAATGGGAGAATAGGCAGAGACGACGAGTGTCCCTACCCTTCGCAGTCCTTATTGTTCCGTTTAGTCGGACAGCGCACAAATGACTGTCTACTGGGATCCAGTCTAAGAGAGCTAGTTCTGCCCCAGGACTCAATGCTATGCCTACGCCGGCAAGTCCACGAGAAGCAGCATCTGGGCCTCGAGATATACAAAGTGTGAATCGAGTTGGTTCTTTGTTTTGACATGGTGATGTCAAATGAATGACGCTACTCGGATCCTGTATGCGTGTTTCGGAGACGCAGCACATATTGGTGGCACGAGGTTCTAAAGTCCTAGCTAAGAAAGCCTGTTGTCCTATTTGGCACACTATTCGGACGTTATAAGCTCCAACATGAAGTTTTTCGTAACGTAGCTTCCACACCAGATCATACTCACTTTATGTTTGCACAACGGATATATGTTTATCACAGATAGAAATCATGAGTCAGTTGAAGCTAGACCACCATTGAAAACCTGGAAGCACTGGACGGCCGTTTCGTCCTAGTATGGGACTCCTCAGCAGTGCGCATCCACGACCCCGCACCACCCGGGGCTCGAACCCAGGACCTACTGGCTTCGCGCGCGAGCACTTAACCATTAGACCACTGAGCCGGCATCCAACGGTGTTAATGTCTAACTTCAACCAATCCACGAAGTTGCGCTACCGTACACCATTGTCTTCAGTGAGTTCCTATCTCACAACAGACCTGGTTGAACTCCACTGGTAACGACTTCTCACTAGAACTTCAGAAGTGTCTCCTGAAGTCAGTCACTAGTGAGCAGGTGATTATTATTATCAGAATGGGTTTTGTGGAGATTTTTAGAAATTTCACAGATAGAAATCATGAGTCAGTTGAAGCTAGACCACCATTGAAAACCTGGAAGCACTGGACGGCCGTTTCGTCCTAGTATGGGACTCCTCAGCAGTGCGCATCCACGACCCCGCACCACCCGGGGCTCGAACCCAGGACCTACTGGCTTCGCGCGCGAGCACTTAACCATTAGACCACTGAGCCGGCTTCAACTGACTCATGATTTCTATCTGTGAAATTTCTAAAAATCTCCACAAAACCCATTCTGATAATATGTTTATCAGTTTTGAGCGTATCAAGAACCGAATAAATGAAAATTTTACTAACATGTCAATGGGGCATAAAGTAGTTGCCGTTTTTGCAACAATCAAGAAGATATAAATAAAAATAATATATTTGTAATATCCCAATGAGTAGAAAATTGGATTTTCTGACGTTTCGTGACTTAGTGTAAGTCACTTCTTCAGAGAATAAATAACCAAATTAAAATTAATCCAAGTTTAAATAGTACAACGGAACAATGCAAGAATAATATTGGATCAATCAAAAAGAAGTCTGAACAAGTTGATGTCATGTCATTTCTGTCAAGGTGATTCATAAGTGATATGTATGTAAATTTGTGTGTATGTATATGTGTATTGTTTAAGAATGAAAACTTGTGTGACCTTTATGGTAAGAAAGGATTGAGTTTAAATTTGTAATATGATAGTGTGAAATTGTAAATACGATCAGACTGAGTGGCTAGGATAGATGGTCCAAGTAGGATGTATATTAAGACCTTCCTTTCTATTGAGAGAAGTAGGATTAAGCATTATATGGAACGCCTCAGCTACCCTCCTTTCTTTGTAGTTAGAAAGGTCACACAAGTTTTCATTCTTAAACAATACACATATACATACACACAAATTTACATACATATCACTTATGAATCACCTTGACAGAAATGACATGACATCAACTTGTTCAGACTTCTTTTTGATTGATCCAATATTATTCTTGCATTGTTCCGTTGTACTATTTAAACTTGGATTAATTTTAATTTGGTTATTTATTCTCTGAAGAAGTGACTTACACTAAGTCACGAAACGTCAGAAAATCCAATTTTCTACTCATTGGGATATTACAAATATATTATTTTTATTTATAACAATGAACCCAATGCTCAATTTATTCGAAATTATCAAATCAAACCTTGGTAATGACACCTACAATCAAGAAGATATTTTATTTCTGATTAGTCCTAAGCTATGACTTACTTTAGCCAGTAGATTAAACGAGTATCCATAAACATCTCTAGTTTGTTAATTTTGTATTTGAAGTAATTAGACATGCTTTCATTTAAATCTAGGTATCCTTAATGTTCCGACTAACTCAGGTGGGGCCACATTTGTTCTCAGTGCAAGTGGATTTATGCACAAGTGAGTTAGTGTCTATATTTGTGTTTAACAGATATATGTGTATTTTCGTAGTAGCTGTATACAACTTGGCACTTGCTTAGTGAATTAGTCATTTAATAGTAAAAAGTGAGTAGATATATGTGCATTGGTTCCTGTCATGGTCTGAAGGAATCTTTTGCTCTCTTCAAAATACATAACTCCTATAGTTCAAAGTCGAACTTCATAGTATTATTCAAAGTTTTTTAAAACTAAAAGCTAATCATAGGGGAATTAACCAGCTTTTAAAATAGTGTTTAAAGTTCACACTGGTAACCGAAATTGAGATTTCCATGTAATTGAGCTCACTAAACATTTTATGCCATATGTTTGTCAGGTTCATTTAGTGGCCGTTTTTAAAAGTTTAATTGTGAAATTCAGAAGTGTTTGTTTGACGAACCAACTGTAGATCATTCGATTATTCGTTTATAAACTATCTTCATGTCGTAATTTTACATCACTGAATGACTTTGGTTAGACAACCATAGAAAACCAGGGATCACTGAATAGCTTCTTCATTTTGGTATAAAACTCTTCACTTGTGAGGATTCACGACCACACCTGGTACCGAAGCCTGCATTTTCAGGCTTCTCATCTAGCGCTTAATGTGCAGGCCACTGAGTTGGTATCCAACATTTCTAACCACTACTTATTGCCATTATTGATATGATTGTCTCACTCCAAACACAATGTTGAACTTCACTGGTGACAGCTTCTCAGTGAAACTGAATTTCTTCATCTACGTATAATTTGATATTAATAATATTGTAGTGAACAGGAACACCAGCGGGGACAATCGAATGTATTTAACACAAAATTACAGGACTTGTTAATAAAATCTAACAATCATAAAGTAAATTCTTAATTTGCAAAATGTCCCCCAATTGTCTCGAAATGACCCAGACTTCATTGTTCTTGTATTTTCATTCAAATTGCATCCTATTTCCATTCTTTACTGCTCGATCCTCTTGTCTCTCTGCTGCCAGACCTTCTGTTCACGACTAATATCATATACTACTTATGTCAATATAAGTAGCAAACACCACAGTATGGCTAGATATATTTTTATAACATGTGACAGTTGTTTAACATGTTATTTCACAATTTTTCCGTTTCACAGATTCGAATTAGAATCTAAATTTGGTGATTTTGTTAAAGGTACTCCATGCGCTGTTTGTAATAATCGAATGCGATTTCGTCTACAACATTGTGCTTACTGCAAGTAAGTGTGGTAATATATTTCTTTACTTAAAAAATGATAATATACATGCACTGTTATATTTTACTATAAAAAGTATACTAGTTGCACCTGTTATGTCCCATAACCCGCCAAATATCACTTGGCGAAATCGCCAATCAGAATACCGACTGCTATCACCCTGTCTCTGTGCTAAACCAATGATGCGTTAACCGGCACGAGAAGCCTTGAGTCAACTCTGAGACCTTATTGGTCCTCTGTGTAGTAGCCTCTCACCTAGCTCCTCCTATTCAGTTCAGAACACAAATATCAGCCTCCGCTGTGTAAATCGTATATTTCAGACATACGTAGTTTATATACAAGCAGACCAGACCAAATAACAATATAAAACGAAAAATAATCATTATACAAGATCAAGCCAAAAGTGACTGTGACTATGGGATACTGTAACTAATAAATTTTCCATGATTATTATTAAATTTTGATTGAGATCATGAATCGATCAGTATTAGACCGCCTTTGAAAACCTGGAAGCATTGGACGGTCGTTTCGTCCTAGTTTGGGACTCCTCAGCAGTGTGCATTCATGATCCCAAGCTACAAAAACACGACCGTCCAGTGCTTCCAAGTTTTCAGTGATGGTCTAACATTGATTGATTCGTGATCTCGGTCAAAACTCAATCTCTACAACCTTAAACTGATATTATTCAATTGTTATTATGACCTTTACGTTTTTCACTTTTTTGTATATCTGTCAAGTGGACAATTATCTCTCATATTTGTAACCTGTAAATTATTTTCACTACCTTATTCTTCTCTAATCCATTGATTTCTACTCAACCTCATTTGATATTTGGAGTCTCGAATCTTTTGATGATGCAATCTTTTCTATCCTTCTATAGATTCATATATTTACCATACAACTATAAGTACGAAGGTACAGCTTAAGTAAATGGTTTCTTCGGAAAGTGAAAATTTTCTTCTCTAAATTCGCTTTATTTTTATTATTGAGTGTACAAATAACTTGCTTAAGATTAGATTTTATTGTCTTGACTTGTTATTGTAACACTACACACAATTGTTTGACTTTTTTAAAAAAATCTCTGTACATAGAATCAAAGTACATAAAAGTTGCGTTTCTCATTCAAGACGACTTCCTTGCACAGGACCTTCCAGTGGACAAAACAATGAATTACACGAATTCAAAGGTAAACCATTTTAATATTCTCTTAAATATAAGTATGAGAGATGATATATCAAATGTTTGGGAAAATATATGAAATTACCCAGATTTTATTGCATTGTAGACATTCTTACGTCTGGCTAAACAACTGATTGCAAGTTCATTTTAATGGTAAAGATGTCATCTACATGCATACTTTAATCAGCTTTTATTTTAGTATAATTTCAAATCAAATAACTCTCATCAACACCACAACTAATTTTCCACATTCAACAATATTCATACATTTAGATAGTTTGTGTTTTAATATAAAGTCGTTTTACGTATCCGAAATGCCCTGGTACGGTCGAGAGTTGGGAGAGTCAGCTCTCCCTATCCGAACGCTCTTACATGACCATGCGTATACAGCCAGTAAAGTCTTACCCTCTGCCTTCTCGCGGCTGCAGTGTCGTTTACGAAATTAAGAGGACGAAAATCAAATGTCCGGCACCTTAACTGGGTTGGTGGACACGGAGGGTCCACCTAGTGGAGTTGGAAAATTCTGATTCCAAAGCAATGGTATATATGGGACCCACAATCCTGAGTGAACAAATGGCGTATGAGCCAATTATTGGTCACTGGCTACCATTGGACTGCATCTCCTTGTGGATCAGATCTTTAGGTCAAAGGCTCCGGGTGTGGCCTCCTAAGAAAATCACCTGCTTCATTTTGGGCAATCGGGTAGTATCACAGCTCATACACCAATCAAGTGACTTGTGTAGTGCATATGTATTTAGTGCCCCTTTGTATCAATATCAATTTAATAAATATAAAATAAATTCGATAATTTTTAATGATTTCCCTGAAGAAGTTCGTCCTCAACTATTTTAATTTCAATTAATTACTGGAATTATTATAAATATAATTCCTTTTTGTTACCCTTAACAATAATTGGATGCAAGAATAGAATTTTTTCAGTAAATATCATCATTTTCATTTTATTTGAAGAAAGGTGTGCCTGAGAAGTTTATTGACATTTTAAAGGCCCTATATACAAACATCTCAGGTAGAGTGAGGGCATACAACCACCTTTCTCCATTGTTCCATTCAAGCAGTGAGGTTAGACGGTTGTCCAATCTCACCATTTCTCTCCAACTTTGCCATCGATGACATTCTGGAAAAAGATCTGATGGATGTAAGTAATGGTGGTGTGGATCTGTTGCCTGGAGAAAGACTTCTCGACCTTGAATATGCGGATGATATTGTCTTACTGTGCGATAATGCCCAAGGCATGCAATCCGCACTTAATCAGTTGGCAATCAGTGTCCGTAGTTACGGCATTTGCTTTGCACCTTCGAAGTGCAAAGTACTTCTACAAGACTGGCAGGATTCTAATCCCGTACTCACCCTGGATGGTGAGCAGATAGAAATAGTCGAGAAGTTCGTGTACCTGGGTAGCTGCATAAGTGCTGGTGTTGGCGTGAGTGATGAGATCAATGCACGTATAGTGAAAGCCAGAGCGGCTTGTGTAAACCAAGCTGTAAATGGTCGGATCTACAACGCGTCGGTGAGAGCAGTTCTGTTTTATGCTTGTGAAACGTGGCCTCTCTGAGCTGAGGATATTAGACGACTCTCTGTGTTTGATCGTCGTTGTCTCCGAAGGATTGCTGACATTCAGTGTCGACACCATGTTAGTAATGCAGAGGTTCGGCATCGTGTGTTCGGGTACAGGGACGATAATGCAATTGGTGTCACCATGTTGAAACATCGACTTCGGTGTCTTGGACATGTTCTACGAATGTCGTCTCAGTGAATTCCACATTGTAAATTATTTGCCGACTCTTGGACTGGTTGGAAAAAGCGGAGAGTTGGTCAATGTATGACATGGTGTCATGGTATGAGAGAAAGCTGCAAAGGACTGGCTTGTGTTGGTCCTTCACGACTCCCTGGTTGGGGTCCGAGAGATGGTGCAACACAGTGGCTAGAAACGTTATCAGATATGGCTCAGAATAGAAGCCAGTGGGGATCCTGCTGTAGGCTTCTTTTACTTTCTTCATAAAAAGTGGTTGTATCTTCCTTAACTGAGAGATTTCTTCTGATTGTACCTTTCCGTTTCCTCCATTATTATCATTATTACTATTATTATCACACCACCTTACACTAATCTGGTCGTTATTAATCTTTCTTTCTTTTACGCTCCTTACCTTCCTTTTTATCTCTTCCCATTCTCTTTGTTTTGTGTGGCGCTCATATATTTGGTGCCCTCTTGTGCCAATATTTATGTATTCAAATAAATAAATAATAAGTCACTTATAAGTTATGACTTATTGAATTAGTTATTGAATTTTACTTGATTATCGTGTCATGTGTAACATACATATCGGTAGTAGTAGTACTTAGTAGTAGTGACATTTGTAAATAAATTTTTCACATGTATATCACGTTTGTATTTTTTTTGTATTTAATAAATAATTAATTATAATTACAAATTATTTTCAAGTGATGATTCTAAACATTTTTAGTTAATTTTTTCTTTTGTTTTACCAAGGATACATAGACACTGATTATTAAATTAACAAAGTGGTAACTTATATCGGTTAGAGCGTTCAATTTCATCTATTTTAATTTTATTAGTCAGGTAGTTGTAGTGCATACTACCTATATTGACAGATATAAGTAGTATGTATCAGCAATCGCAAGTCAAGTGCATATCAGAAGAACAGAAACTAAAATAGGGATCAGTTGTAATAACAACAGAATTGAAAGAATCATAAAGTTTGTAAAGGATAACTAAAGGAAGATGTGCAAATAATGTATTTAATGAATAATTTTCATATTTTGCGAAGGTACTGTTTAGTCTTTTGCTCTCGAGAATAAATTGTGTTCAGCCATCTAAATTATGTTCACATTGTTTGTTATCGCTGACAAAAAGAGGACGACGAGTATAGTAATGCACACGTAGTTGTGTGGTTGAAAGTATGGTGTCTAATTAGTGATTACCTCTGCAATAGGGAGACATCTAATGAAGTGTCATGGTGGAGCGGTGTTAGGTGTAGCGATCGCTGTTGTTGAAGAGATGAAGTGAAAACTATGGTTGTTGAACGGACATGAAATGTAGATGGTGCGGTAGGTCGACATCACTCTGGTGGAGGTCAGCGCGCTGGTCGACTCGACATGTCGGTGTGAGGCGTGGGACAGATTGTACCAGAGAAGAGATTGGTACGGTCAGCAGAATGAACTCGAAAGTGCCAGGCGCTTAACCAACTAGACCACTGAACGGGCATCCAACGGTTTTAATTTCTAACTTCAACCAATCCACGAAGTTGCGCCACCGTACACCATTGTCTTCAGTGAGTTGATATCTCACAACAGACCTGGTTGAACTCCACTGGTAACAGCTTCTCACTAGAACTCCAGGGGTATCTCCTGAAGTAAGTCACTAGTGAGCAGGCGATTATTATCAGATTGGGTTTTGTGGAGATTTTTTAGAAATTTCACTGGCTAAGGAGTCCCATACTAAGACGAAACGGCCATCCAGTGCCTCCAGATTTTCCATAGTGGTCTAGCTTCAATTGACTCATGATTTCAACCAGTGAAATCTCTTCCCTTTTTTATTTTTGTTGATTTTTTTATAATTTTTTTACTTGAACTTTCATTTAAAATAGACCTTTATTAATTTTTATATAAAATACCCTGACATGTATATGTGTGATCAGATTGTTTGAAATGTAAGACACAAATACATCCCATATTCATCAAATCAACTCCATCTTCTCATTGTTCTATCGAGATTTATGAAAAAAGGACTGATTGCTTTAAAAAAACAGCATTTGTTTATGCACCCTTATATACAATAGTAAACAATCCATCTGTTGAATTTTGAAGTAAATATTTTTATACTGAATATGTATTGATCTATGTGTATATATTAATGATTGTACTGTTTATCTATGTGTCTATTTTCTATTTTCATTATAAAACAATAGTTGATACATTTTGATATATATCAAAAAGGGGTTTTGTGAATATTAAAGTGATTGAAGCTGAGGAGTCTCACAATCGGACTAAACGATTATCCAGTGCTTCCAGGTTTCCCATGGTGGTTAAGCTTCAATTGACTTATGATCTCAACTATTAAATAAAATTACATTTTGATATATTAACAAGATATATGATTGTTGTGTAATTTTATTATCTTAATCATTACTTTTAAAGGTTCTCCAAATATGCCTCGTCAATTGCATACAAATGTTTTAACAACTAGTCAAACAAATCTTCGTCCTGCCCATTCTACTCCAGCATTTCAAGTTAGTTAATAATAATAATAATAGTAATAATACTTTATTCTTTTTGACTTATTTGTACAATATTAACATAATTATGGAAGAAAGTAAACAAGTAATATGTATCGAACCTTAATTATATCATTTGTTGGATTCTGTCATTTTATTTTATTTAAAAACATAAATATTGATACGAAGGGGCACCGAATACATATGTGTCACACAAGTTACTTGATTTGTGTGTGGGCTGTGATACTGCCGGGGTGCCTAAGCCGAAATAGGTGGTTTTCTTAGGGAGCTACACCTGGAGCCTTAGACCTAAAGGTCTAGTCCACAAGGTAACGAAGCAACGTCAAGAGATGCAGTCCCATAGTAGTAGGTGATCGATTATTGGTTCATACACCATTTGTTCCCTCAGAATCCTGGAGCCTAAGTGCACCATTAGTTTGGTATCAGGGTTTTCCAACTCCCCTAGGTGAACTCTCTGTGTCCACCAACCCGATTAACGCGCCTGACGTTCGCCTTTCGTCCTCTCGATTTCGTAAACAACACATTGGACGCGAGAAGGCAGTAAGTATGACTTCCCTGTCAGTGGCTGTATACGCGTGTCCATGTGAGAACATCTCCAGAGGGAGAGCGAACTCTCACCACTCTCGGCCGTACCAGGGCATTTGGATTCTGTCATAGCTTAAATAACTGTTAAATCACGTTTCAGGCTCAATCAGTCTAGTTAGAACCTTTAGTGCTGTCCATTTTTAGTTCAATTATTGTTATATGGTTGATATATCTAATATTTGAGAGCTTGATATTGGTTTTCTAATTGCTTCCTAGTCCCTCAGAAATCTCGTACACTTTTACCTTGAAGAGAAGAAAAAAGGTTGAGTTATCTATCCCTAGAAGGATTAATGTAGGTATGGAAATGTATTATACATATTGTTTGTACATAATTCTGTAAAAGCTTCTGGAGCTGTGTTAAAATGAGTATTATCGTTATTCTGGAACTCTTTCTTAAACGCTGATTAGACAAGACATTTTAAGCTTAGTTAGAGAATAGAAAGACGAAACTCTGTGATTCTCAAGCGGAACTAATAATCTCACCATGTATAATTACTAACTAGATGGTATTAATTAGTTGAGTGACTTTTTCGATGGCTTAAATCAAAAGCTATTGGAATTCGGGATTCATATTCATTTGTCATTCTTCCTTTGAATGGTTTTGATTTAATTCATTCCTTTTTAAACTAAATTTTTTCTGGTTGTTAGTTTTGTACAGCTGTTATTTATCATTTCTTTGTTTTTTTTTCTCATGTTAATTTCTTCTCATTACTCTATGAGTATCTAAAGCATGACAACTTGGAATAATACAAATTTGTGCTAGGTTCTTAAGATTGCTTATGTGTGCGCCTGTGTTTCATGGACACTTGCAAAAGCTAAGCCACGCAGATTTGGATTTTATGAGTAGTATAAGCTCCCTCATGGTTTTATGTGCGCTTCGCTGCGCACGAGTACCAACTAACACAAAACCTAGGTTTGCTCTTGACTGCTTTTAATTATTTCATACCAAACTCAGCTCACACGATATCAATTCACTTAGATTATTGACCACATTGCAACTTGATTGATAAAATTCAATCGGCAAAAATGACTAGACCAATATGACATTAATTACTACTCAGCAATTCAAATCCCTACTTATTAGTTGAAAGCTGCTTATATATTAAGCTTTACTGGCAGGACTATAATTTATGACCGAACCAATCGGATTTAGGATAACAGGTCTTGGGTTTAGGCGCGAAATTCATTCACCCGTTCCCTAAGCTAGATGATTTAATTGCAAAAATTTCAAGTGGAGTTGCTAATTTCATTGAGCGTGAGAGTACCGGGCTATTCAATGAGACTATCCAGCATCATCACTATATTCTGTTTTGAGTGGATAGTTTCTATTGCCGAGTTCTTCATAACGCAAGAGTTTCAACAAAAACCTCTCATCGTTAATGATACTTCATTTAATTGTGATTAGTTATTAGTAGTATTTGTTTTCTATAGTGGAATCGTGTATAATGTGATCAGTTTCACTTGAGTACCATTAAAATAAAATAATCAGGTTCGAATCCTGGAGTGAACAACTCAACTCTGGGATTCAGATACATTCAACTGTTCAGCTCCAAATAACATGAAACATGCATTTTGGTTTACACTTCTAGCCACCATCTATCATCTTTGCTTATAAAGTACATAAATATTTCTTTTAAAATTTTAATAATACGGTTGTCTTTGATCGTTGAATAATACAAACAACTTTAAAAATCAGTAATCATTTTAGATTTCAAGTGTTTTCATTGTATGGTATCTAACTTCTTTTCATTATAATCTGTAATATAGAAATCAGTTTAATTGTGTGTAATTAACAGAACTATAATGATGATTATGTCATAAACGACTTATTCAGAAAGTATGCTAAGCTGGCTTTCCTTTTTTTTCGTTGTTGTTGTTATTACTTAAGAGCATATAAGCAGGATTTACTTATTCATTGTTTTACACCATGCAAAGTTAACAAGTTTCAAAGTACTGTTTTTGCAATCAGCGCCTAGGTTCCAACCTCGTTATTTGCATCTACTGACTTGGATCAAATGAACAGTTATAGGTTTCAATAATCATCACTAAACGGATTGTTTACAGAAATGAGATTGGAAATAATTAACTGTATGTACGTATATCCAATCATCATCTATTTTGACACACAATGTTGGTTTGTTCAGGAGTAGGTTTATCAAACTTAAATGGGACATCAGTCCATTAAGTTATTGGTTATTAGAGAGCCCTTTAGGTTATTGCAGACTATCGGGTTTGTGTCGGTGTGATTTTCGTAACTAGTGTATCAGAATTGGTCGCTGTAAAACAGATATGTTTGCTCTTTGTTTTCTCTTAAATCTTCAGTTCAAAAAAATTATCGTGTACTTTTTATTCCACGAATCCATTACTTGTTCTCGAATCATATTGTTTATGTCTAATGTTTTCTACTACTATTGATACTATTATTACTTTTAATACTTTGATATTTATCTTGATCATTCCACATCACTGTGTTGATATAATGCGGCAACTCGAACTTATGTATATATATTTGCCTTCGCAAAAACATTGGTACAGGAAGGCACCAAATATATATATGCGCCGCACAAATCATTTGAATTGTGTGAGGGCTGAAATACTACTCAGGTGCCCAAACCGAAGCAGGTGGTTTTAATAGGGGGCCACTTCCCAAGCCTCAGACCTAGAGGTCTGATCCACAAGGCAGTGGAGCAAAATCAGAAGATACAGTTCCGTAGTAGCCAGTGACTAACAAAAGGTTTATACGCCATTCGTTCCTTCAGGATCCTGGTGCCCATGTGCACCATTGGTTTGGAATAGTGATTTTCTGACTTGTAGTTGGATCCTCCATAAGCGTCGGATACTCACTTGTCGTCCTCTCAATTTTGTAAACAACACCCCAGTCGCGAGAAGGTAGTGAGTAGGTTTTCCCTGGTAGTAGTTGTATTTCGAAGCGAAGTGCACAAATTAGTCACATTGTAACTGAGTTAATAACAATAAAGTAAGTTACGTTTACTTACATTATTCAAATATAAATTGCCCTTTTATTATTTTTTTATCTCTTTCTCTGTATCTATGTGCTGTGCAGAGTTCTGATTCAAACAGTGCTTCGTCATGTACAAGTTCTACACCAGGTTCACCATTTGTCACCGGTACATCATTGCTTAGTACAACGTTAGCTGCATCATGTTGTACTCGTTTAGACAGTGGTTATGTTGGTGTTGGTAGTAATAGTAGTAGTACTACTGGTCAAATGATTTCATTATCTTCTCCTCCATTACGAAATTTAAGCAACAGTGGTGGTTGTATGTTTAATCCTTCTAATCCAAGTCATTTATCTTCGCCAGTTAGTATACATTCTTACGGAACAGTTAATGCTGGAATTGTAACTAATACACAACAACAACAACAACCTCATTCTCCTCGACATTCCGGCCAATGTTTTAATCATTTTGAATTTCCAAGTAAGCGTTTTCGTATAAATTCATATTTAGTATATACATTTATATCGTTATCTGTTCTGCGCTCTGCTTATGTACATATAATTCCTTCTTCTACTCAATAATATGCATTTTTATGTAGACGAGCACTTCATTTACGTCTACCACTTTATTAAATCTCGTTGGAAAATCACTAGTCGCATACCTCATTTTGTGCTGAAACAAATTAAACACAATGATACTTGGTCTACCAGTTTTTTTAATAATCAGTTCCTTGTCTAGTCTTAGATAACTAAGTAGTAACGTGTTCAATTTTCCCCTTATGTCTAATAAAATCGGCTATCTAAACCAACAGGTCGAAGACGCAGTAAAAATATGTGTTAGCAAATACTAAGGAAAGGTGACCGTCAACCCTCCTTGGGAGTGCTTATGCTTATGTATATGTCATGAAGCGCAAGAGTGAAAGTCTTTATACAAGTGGTACACATGTAATATGTAAAAGACATCCAGTTGTAACAAATTCGTTCAAAGAGAGCGGAGACCATCTGCCTTTCACGGGGGGGGGTGGATATACATATGTGTACTCTATGGGATACATAAGTGAAAACCTATATGTTACCGATGTGCATGTGTCGTATACTTGCCCCTAGTTCGGGTCGCGCACTAAGACCCGGGGATGCTGGTTTCCCCACGAAATCACATCCACGTGGTGAGCCTTGAAACAGGGAAACTTTTCAGAAAAGCCAGTAGACCACCAGATAAAGCTTTACGAACCTTGAACGACTGAACACTACATACCATGTTCAATCTTCAGGTAAGAAAGTATTTCTGACTCTTTTAAATAGTTTGATAAGAGTCAGGCACCCCAAAACAACATGTTATTTGGAATGAATTTGTGTCGACTAAGTCGCTACACAATCTCAGCATAGGGAAAAGGGAAGTTAAAATGATATTTAGCGAACTGATTTGGAATAATCATTGTATTAATGAATAGTGCAAAATAATATCGTTCGCCGGTTTTCGGCATTTTTCATCTATCAGTCTGAACTGCACTACACTGTTGCGTTCATAGTTGACGGATTCGAATATCTTCAGATTCTTAAGGTGAAATCTTCAGTAAAAATTACGCTTACATACAGTATATACCTACTAAATTGACGGAAAGGTGGGCGAAAATACTGGATACCACATACTTATTGAACGTCGAACAATAGGTGGATGACCCCATCCCATGTATCCGAGGCAATCTAACCAATTTTTAGGACCGTAATGAGTTGTCTGACCTAGAAGTCTGATCCACAAGACAGTGGAGCAACGCTAGAAGATTATTTTTTTAAAATTAGCTGAAATATACATTAACCAAAATTTCGAATAAATGACTATCGAAAGTAAATAATAGTTTGCTCTAAGATAGAAAATGACATCGTCCATAAAATCGTTGGAAAACGTCATAAGCTACATAAAAATGCCCGTTATGTAAATTTAGGTGTCATTACTGCAAATTTTTTTAAGCGACAGATTTGTTAGTCTGTTATTTACTTTTTGGTTTATAAGATGCATAAAAGTTTCTAGGTTATTAGTAGTGCTTTCCAATTGTGTCGCCAATGTCGTAGACCATTTTTTTAACCTTAGGAATATTCAGTGTAAATATGCTGCAGGGCTCGTCAGTCAGTCAGTCAGCTACAACGTAGGACCAGGCACATATGTGCATCGGTCCAGGTTGCCATACCGCATCAGCACAAGATGAACACCGGATTCATAGCAGTGGTTAGGTCAAAGGTGGTAATATATAAGAGAAAGATTGCATATAGAGATATATTACAAGAAGAAAGAATTGGTTCGTAGAAAGAAAGATATGAAGTGATTTTAATCTCTTAGTTTAAGGAAAGACAGGGAGTGTATACACCGACGCCATTGTGATCGATTCTGAACCATGTCACCAAGAGTCTCCAACCATTGGTTATGATAGTCACGCGGACCCCAACCAAGTAGTCTGCATCTACCAACATGGCTCAGACTAGAAGTTAGTGACTTCAAGCACTGATGCCACGTTTTGGTTTGGCCGCCCCTAACTTTCTTCCAACCATCTCCAATACCGGATAGCATTGCACTTCGTGGTAATCGGTGTTCAGGCATACGTAGCACGTGGCCCAACCATCTCAGTCGATGAAGATTCATAACCTCATCAACTGACTTACCATTATTCCCTAATACCCTGCGTTTAACCTCACTATAACTTACCCCGTGATCACAGCAGACGCCAGCAATATTTCTAAGTCATCTGTGGTCAAATACTAATAGCTTACGAGTGTATTCTACTCTTAATGGCCATGTTTCGCTGCCGTAAAGTAAAACAGAACGGACTGCCGTGCAGTATACTCGTCCTTTTATTGACAGACGGATATCTCGTCTTCGCCAAAGGTGACGTAAGCTGGCAAAAGCCAAACGAGCTTTTCGAATCCGTGCTGAGATTTCGTCGGATGCCAACCCATTAGGGCTGATCAGACTTCCAAGATAAGTGAAGTTGTCAACGCGTTCGACTACTTCACTCCATATCCTTAGTTCAGGTGTTTACGCAGACCAGTCCTGAAGCAACAACTTGCATTTCGAGGGAGAGAAGCGCATTCCAAACATTCTGGCATTGTTACTTAGTGCTATCAGAAGACTCTGCATTTTGTCAGCGTCTTCGCCAAACAGGACTATGTCATTTGCTTGTTCTAAGTCGATAAGTGGATCTCCTTTCCTGTTGTGATAAACCCAACGAGCTAAATTGGCCGAAATATGTGTTATTTTAGGTCCTATCATATTAGACAGGTCGGTCGGAGAATGGTAAATCTGAAAGCAGCACCTTGAAGCCCGAGGGCGAAGTTTTACTGTGGGCTGTCGACAGGTGTGCCAGCATTAAAGTATTTCTCTCGACCAACCAATGTCTGCAGCGATGCTGTCTTCTCATCAGAGAGTTAGGGAAGGTGGACCCTTAAAGCCACACCTCACCTTACTCTGGCATTAAGGCTTTTTAAAATGCGGAGCCAACACATAAAAATTCCCATAAACAGGTTTTTAGACCAGTGTCAAGCATTTGTCTCTTGCTCTCTGCGGTCACACGCACAGGTCAATAATGCCACTACTAGTCCATTTTTTTTGTCAGGTCCGCAAAGAAGAAGTATATTTTTCACTGTATGGTCAACCGGGAAGTGACAACCGCTCTCAGAAATGCAACAGCACCCGAGATCACCATGCTACAGGGCTGAGGATTCCAAGCTGGGGCTTGAGTTTTGATAGAGCTTTATGATTTCCCAAATGTATATCCCATCTACCTCCAGCGTGCTTTTGCTAATTTCCTTTTCAGCTAATAGTTGGTTTGTTCTCTGGGACAGTGATTAATTAGCTTCTATAGATTATCAGCTTTAAATATTCTATGGGAAATTGTAAACTACCGAAATCTTGTCCACTGATAATTCATCTTCATTGTTAGATTTTCTAGTGTAGTTGTTGTCGTGGTGTAGGCTACTTATGTCGATAGACACAAAGTAGTATGCAGCACTAATCTGAAGTGGAATGTCTGGCAGCAGAATATTGAAAAGATCGAATTGAAGAGAACAAGGATGTAAACAGTAATTAATTAGAACTGTTCTTTTGTATAGTACCTACTTTTCAGTGGTTGAAATCTTGAGTCAATTGAAGCTAGACCATCATGAAAAACCTGGAAGCACTGGCTGGCCGTTTTGTCCTAGTATGGGACTCCTCAGTAGTGCGCACCCACGACCCCGCCTCCTGCGAGATTCGAACCCAGGACCTACTGGTCTCGCGCACGAGCGCTTAACCATTAGACCACTGAGCCGGCATCCAACAGTGTTAATGTCTAACTTCAACCAATCCACAAAGTTGCGCCACCGTACATTTGGATACATTCAAATGTTTCACGATTAGTGTTTACTTGTATAATTTTTAATCATAACGTGTTTACAATAATGTCATGAATAATATTGTATTGTATTTCTATTACATTCAAGTTGTCAGTCATCCAATCATAGATAATCAGTTAGTAGACGGGAATTTCAATAATAATGTGAATAATAATAGTCCTTTAATTAGGTAAGTGTTGGTTTACCGCTTCACATTACCAATAGATCGGTTTTATCACATACAATTATTATTTTATATGTCAATCTTCACTCAATAAAAGTTAATGTAGCTTATCTTGAAGCTAATTTGCATCCCTGAAACCAACAGCTTAATATATAAATAATTTAACATAATCTAACCAGAGGTTATGCTCTGTGACATTGTTCATGTATTTGGCAGTTTGACAATATATGTATATCCATTGATAATGCTAAACAGTAATAAGCTTTCACATTACTTAACCCTAACATTCTGCAAGAAGGACAGAAGTATTCTTCACAAAAAAAGAAATAGACGATTACCTATACGCAGCTATTCACCATTCCTTACCTGTTTTACTCACATCAGCTTCAGCTTGTCAGTCAGTCAGTAACAACGTAGAACTTAGTACGTACGTACATCAGTTCGAGTTGCCATACCACATTAGCACGGAGATGCAGTGGTCGATTCAAATCCCGTAGTGGTAGAGGTAGCAAGAGTATAAGCAGTAATCGGGAAGATTAGGGTTTGGAGATGTTATTTAACGAGTATAATCCAGTGAAATAAATTTGGAAAGAGGAAAAAAAGGGGCATGAAGAATTCAGATAATTAGAATTTGGGAGAACATAGAGAGTGGATGCACCTGCGCCATTGCAAACGATTTTGAGCCATGTCATTCAGGGTCTCTAACCATCGGTTGCTATCATCTCGCGGTCCCCAACCAGGTAGTCTACACCTACCAACATGACTTAGTCCACTTGTCAGTGACTTCATGGATTTGTGCCATGTTTTGGTCTGGCCGCCCCTAGCTTTCTTCCAACCTACTCCTATACCACTGAATATAGCACGTCGAGGTAGTCGGTGGTTGGGCATACGTAACACGTGTCCCAGCCATCTCAACTGATGAAGTTTCACTACTTCATCAATTGATTTGCCATCCTTACCTAGTACCCGTTTCCTAACAGTTGCGTTACTTACTCGGTGGTCCCAGGATATACGAGCAATACTTCGAAGACACCTATGATCAAATACTAGTAACCTACGAATATCCTCTACTCTTACCGGCCATGTTTCACAGCCATAAAGTAGGACGGAACGAACTGCTGCGCAGTAAACACGTCCTTTGGTTGGTAGACGGATATCTCGCCTACGCCATAAATGACGCAAGTTGGCAAAAGCTAGTCGAGCATTCTGTATCCGTGCTGAGATTTCGTCACACACCAGACCACAAGGGCTGATGAGACTTCCAAGATAAGTGAAGCGGTCGACACACTCAACTACTTCACTCCCTATCACTAGTTCGGGTGTCGATGTAACCCAATCCTGAAGCAACATTTTGCATTTCGAGGGAGAGAATCGCATCCCGAACATGCTTGCATTGTTGCTTAGAGTGGTCAGAAGACTCTGCATTTTGTCAGCGTCTTCACCAAATAAAACTATGTCATCGGCATATTCTAAGTCAACAAGTGAACCTCCCGGTAGAAGTTCAACCCCCGGAAATTTAGATGAGGAGAGTGTTATCTCTAAAAGTACGTCGACCACAAAGTTGAACAAGAATGGGGAGAGTGGACAGCCCTGACGAACACCACTTGAGGTAATCAATTCTGATGACAGTTCGCCATAAGCTCTCACTCTACCAGTTGTGTTCGAGTAGAGAGCCTGAATAAGGTTAATGTACTTCTTTGGTACTCCTTTCAGTGACAAACACTGCCATAGAACCTTACGATCAACAGAGTCGAATGCCGCCTTAAGGTCGAGAAATACTACCATTGTGGGGCGTCTAAACATGTGTCTGTGTTCTAGAACCTGACGTAGTGTGAATATCTGATCTATACAACCACGTCCAGGTCGAAAACCAGCCTGATTTTCTCGAGTCTGCTCTTCACGAGCTTTGATTAGGCGTCGAAGTATTATTGAAGCTAATATTTTAGACACTATATTAGTCAAACTGATTCCTCTGTGATTGTCACAAGAGGACTTTTGTCCTTTCTTATAAACTGGCACAATCAGTGATTGAGACCAGTCAGATGGGATTACGTCCAGTTCCCAAATTCTACCTAAGACCTCGGTTAATCTCATTGCTAATACTGGACCACCATCCTTAAAAATCTCAGGAGTAAACCTGTCAGGGCCTGCTGCTCTCCCTCGTTTCAGATTTCCTATGGCTTTTTCAACTTCATAAAGAGACGGAGGACCTACATTAACTTGCCATTCAGGTTGACTGGAGATCGTGGGAAACCGAAGTGTGGCTGAAGGCCAGTTGAACTGATCCCTAAAGTGTTCTGCCCATCGATCCAATCTCCTGGATTGAGAATGAATAATATGTCCATCTTTCTCTGAGATTGTTTCGCTAACAGTCGGGTTCCTAATTCCGGTTTCCTTAACGAGTCTAAACAATTGTCTGCTATTACCTATTGCCGTTGCCTTTTCCATCTCTCTTGCTTTCGCTACCCACCACTGTTCGCGATCATTGCGTAGACTTCTTGTTAGTTTGCGCTTAAGCTGACTCCGCTCTTCACTATGTTCAGAGCCAGGTGGAATGAGTTTCCGAGCATCTATCAGTGCGATAGATGCTGCTGAGATCCAGTGTTGCTCCCTAACCTTCTGGTTTACCTTACTAACAGATATCACTGCTGTTTCCACAGCTTTTCGGATATCATTCCATGCTGCCTCGGGGTGGGCATCACATACATGGCTGCCTAACTGTTTTCCTAGTTGTTCCTGAAATATACCCTTAGCTTGACTATCATTAAGTAGGCCCCTAAGAGGTTTCCTTGCAGCGTCTTTCCTACGTCCAGTAAGACGCAGGCAAATACGCGCTCGTACTAGAGCATGATCTGAATCTAGGCATGTGCTCCAGAATGAGCGACAGTCTTCTATCGAGCCCCTCCATCGGTGGCTGATAGCGATGTGATCTATTTGGGTCCAACGTTGGGACGAATTAGGGGGTCGCCATGTTAAAAGATGTTTTTCCTTATGCTTAAAGTTAGTATTTGCAAGGAACAGGCGATTATCTGAGCATAGCTGCAACAGACGGTCGCCATTATCTGTTCTCTGAGCCACTATACTATAAGATCCACCCAGGTGTCTTTCCCTATCGCTTAGTTTACCTACTTGAGCATTAAAGTCACCGGCCACTATTACTACATCCGAGCGCTTAGCTTTTCGGAGAAGGTCCGAAAGCTTTCTGTAAAACTCATCTTTTACATCATCTGAGCTGCAGTTAGTGGGAGAATAGGCAGAGACGACGAAGAGGCAACGACGAGTGTCCCTATCTTTCCGGATTCTTACTGTTCCGTTCAGTCGGACAGCGCACAAACGACTGTCTACTGGGATCCACTCTAAGAGAGCTAGTTCTGCCCTAGGACTCAATGCTATACCTACGCCGGCGAGGCCACGGGAAGCAGAATCAGGGCTTCCAGATACACGAAGCGTAAATCGAGTCGGTTCTTTATTTTGGCATGGTGAGGTCAAATGAATGATGCTACTTGGATCCTGTATGCGCGTTTCGGAGACGCAACACACATCGATGGCGCGAGATTCTAAAGTCCTAGCTAAGGAAGCCTGCTGTCCTATTTGGCACAGTGTTCGGACGTTAAAAGCTCCTACGTGTAGTTTAGAGCGTGGTTTGAGGAGACCAGGAATAGAGTTCCACGTACTCGAATCGTTTGCCCTAGCGGTGCGAGGTGATCGAGAGACGTGAGGAGGGTTAGTCATGGAGATAAGAGAGGTATTAGAAGGTGTAGGAAGGATTTGAATGTGACCAACTTGGTCTCGCGTGCTGTTACGGGTATGAGGGCTGATGTCACTTCCCGGCTGCCCACACCGTGGAAGGGTATTTCTTGAGGAACCTGAAAAGGAAATTGGATTAGTGTTGGTCTTAACGACCTGGGAGCGTGACCGCAGAGCCCAAGGGACAACTGCTTGAGGCCGGTCGCGCACGGCCTTTTTGTAGAAGGTTTTTGACGTGTTAGCTCCGTTCTTCAGATGGCCTTACCGCCGGAGACGGAAATCCGTGAGGTAAGGTGAGGTGTGACATTTTTAGGGTCGACCTTTTCTAACCCCACCCCTCCTTGTGGGAAGGCAGCATCGCTGTCATGCTGATTGTCCGAAGGAAACACCTTACTGCTGTCACACCTCTGTACAGTCAGCAGTACGACTTCGCCCTCAGACTTTGAGTTGCTGCTTTTAGTCTTACCGTTCACCAATCGACCTGCCTGGCATGGTAGAACCTACAGGAACATATGTTCCAGCCAATATAGCTCGGATGGGTCATCACGATAGGCAAGCCCGACCACCACGTCAAGGTAGCAGCTTCGGTCGGGGCTTCAGCTTGTAGGTGTTATTAGTTATACAGTAAATCAAACTATAAGAGATATGTATAAATTGGGTTATAAAAGTCATTTGTAACTAAAATGTCATTATTGAATGACTTTATTAGTAATCTAAATCAGTAGACTACTTCTTTTACTGTACTAGTGTTTTCATTGGACCCTGACCCAGTCAGTGGTCGGTAACTGTGAAACATTTGTTTCGAAACCTGAAGGTCTTAATTTCGACCCCTGAGGAATGCTGAAGGGTCCTGTACTAGGATGAAACATCTATCCAATACTTCCTAGTTGCCAATGGTACTTCTTTAGTGAATGCTACTTGCAAGATTATTTGTAAGTATTGTGTAGCGAAATGTGACGTCTAAGTTGCTACATTTGTCAGACTAAGTGAGTTTTAGTCGATCGAAAGTATGGCGTTGGCAGAATACCTGGAGACCAGGCGACAAGATATTCCAAATTTCAGAACACACCGAGAGATGTGAATCAAAGATTGAAATCTATGTATAATGTATTATATAAATACTTTATAACTTCTTATAATAAATACATTCTTCCTGTCTATTGTTGTGTTCTACATTTCAACTAAAGTCAATCTGTGATGAATACATTCAGCCCCCCCCCCGAAAACCTATGATCTATTCATATATGGAATATATACTGTAAATGTTTATAGTTCAAATCAATCGAATTGATGGATGTTATAACCTTAATGTGTTACTTAAATCATCAAACTGTCAATCGTCATATAGCTTATCATGAGTAACGTGTTATCATCAATGATGTGTTTAAATTAATTTCTTTCAATTTGTTATTCACATGATCTGTGAATTAGATTAGATCACATCATTACAAAACAATAAAATCAAATTTGTCCGATCAAACTTATTAAGATTATAATATATATAACTACATGGATTATACAAATGATACCAATCAGTTATTGTTATATCATTGGTAAATATGATTCTTTCTGAATGGTGGTGATGATTGTGATAGCTCAATCATGTCTTATTGATTAAATCGTGTAAGGTTCAACCTGACTGTTTTACTTGGTTTGATTAGGAGAATTTTTGTCGGCTAATACTTGAACCTAGCAACAATTTCTATTTTTAGTATCATTTTTTCATTCATTTCAACACAGATATTGGTACAAAGAGCCTTTGACCTGAAGGTCTGATCCACAAGACAGTGGAGCATCGTAAGGAGATGAAGTCCCATGGAAACTAGTGACCAACAGTTGGTTCATGCGCCATTTGTTCCTTCACAATACTGGAACTCATGTGCACCACTGGTTTGGAATCCGGTAAAAGCGCCGGACATTCGCTTCTCGTCCTCTCATTTTCGTAAACATCACCCGTGGTGCGAGAAAGCAATGAGTTGGACTTTCCTGGCAGAGGCTGTGTACGCGTGGCTGTGTGAGAGCATTTCGAGATGGAGAGCAGACTCTCCCCACTATTGACCATATCAGGGCATTTGGAGGCCGTTCTTAGTTGGTGGAGCGATTTGTCTGTTTTTAGTCATCAATTCCTATCAGGCCTAAATAACTAGTTTTACTTTAAATAGTATTTATTTATTTTCTAACCTTTGAAAATTCTTATAAAACTTCTAATTATTTCTTTTATCATCTTTTTGTAGTACTGTGTCGTCTGGAGAAAGTGAACGAACTGTTGTTGACGTAAGTTTTGCTATTATAGGCTACATTTTATCGACCTATTTTCTGTTTATTACCATTTCATACTTTTTTTAATGGTATGTAGAAGAAAAAGAGTAAGCTTCATAATGATACTTACAACTCACGGATATTTATGGGGTATCGGATTGACAACAGATTATGGATGTTAATGATGGTTTGTTGAAGAATTCATTTATACTACCTCAAATAGATTTACCTCTCTGAATTATCGTTTAGTTCTGTATTACTTTTTTGTTATAAACATGATAGGTTCATCTAAAGAGTGCGAATTCCGTTACTTAGCTTATTGTTGAACACCGGTGATACTACTCGGCTATCCAAAATAAAGTAAATGGAGCGAAGTTCGGACGTGCGACTTGGTGACTAAAAGTTAACTATTGAACTAGTATTTGATCTGTCCAGGTTTGAATGGTGGTTTATGATCTCAGTGAAATTTCTTATCATCATTTTCCGCAGATCAGTATTCATTCATCAATTATTCGTTTCACCTAGTTCTCCAAGTTTATTTATATCAGCTTTTTCTTTAATCCATGTATTTTCCAACTTTGCAACACAAAATCCATAGTTAGTTACTTACTTAGGCCTGTTAATCCTAATGGAGCATAGGACGCAGACCAGCACTCTCCAACCCACTCTGCCTGGGCCTTCTTTTCTAGTTCCATCCAATTCTTGTTCGTTTTTCTTATGTCTGTCTCCATTTCTCGGTGTAATGTGATTTTTGGTTTTCCTTTGGCCTTGAGGATTCTATGTGAGGGCTTGTCTTGTGACGCATTTGGGTGCTTTCCTAAACGTGTGTCCTATCCGCTTCGGGCGCTTCTTCCCGATTTCTTTCTCCGCTGGAATCTGGTTTGTTCTCTCCCACGTGAATCAACAGTTAATTTCTAAATGAATGTCAAGAATTAGGTTTGGAGATTAAATAATTGACTAATTGACTATGAAAGCCGAGTTCCATAGTCAATTATTTAATTTCCAAACCTAATTCTCGACATTCATTTGGAAATTAACTGTTGATTCACGTTTAATTTCTATTCATTCAATAGTTATTTCGAATTATGATATTTTTTTCGTTTCTATGTATAGTAATATGTGTGCCAATTATTTTGGAATATCCGCCTACTATCTCTCTCTCTCACACACACACACTCTATCACTTATAAACACATACACATGTATACATCTTAGTAATTTTAATCTGTTTACTTAATGTTTTGATCTTTCATGTTTACTCAGAATGCAGTACACAGGTTTGAATCAATGGATAGTCAAGATGAATCATCTTTAATGAGAACTAATAGTGTAAGTTTAATTATGTTTTGGTAAATGTAAATGATAAAAAAGTGTCTATTATTACAATTGATTGATCACTGGGTGGTGATCAATGTCTTGCTTGTCTAGTCCTTATTAGTGCAGATCGAGTGCTATCGATCATGTTGCAATGTGGCCACCAGTCTAGGTGACTCGATAGCACTCGATCTGCACTAATAAGGACTAGACAAGCAAGACATTGATCACCACCCAGTGATCAATCAATTGTAATTACATCTCAGTCCTACAGGAGGTTAGTCACGGCTCGGATAGCTCAGTGGTAACGTCTCTGACTGTGAAGCTGGGTGACACGAGATCGAATCGGCTAGGGAGCACCAGTTCCCTCAAGATTACAGGTACACCTTGCTGACGAGTGCCAAGTAGCACGAAACCCGGGTCCAGGGTTTCCTGTTGACTACCTCCAACCACCATCTAAGTGTCTATTATTATCATTTAATAAAAGAATGATAGTTCAGTGAAGAATATTTGCTTTTCTATGGTGAGATTTGGTAATGCTATACAATCGTGTTTGTACTTATTCATCATAGTCTATGATTGTGTCATTAATATCAATATATTAAGAGTTTGTTGGAAAATTCAAATGGTCTAATGATTAAGCGCTCATTACGAGATATGAAGGTCTTGGTTTAAATGCTCCTGTAAAGTCGGGAATGCACGCTACTGAGAGAGATTTCATACTCGAATGAAACAATGTCCGATGTTTCCTAGTTTTTAATGGTTGTCTAATTTAGGCTGGTTCATGGTCTCAATAATATAGAAGAGAGATATATGAAAGATAATTATCCGTTTTTGACGAATCTAAGAAAGAGAAGGGATGAACGTGTTTTAAAAATAATTAACAAAATTAACAGGGAGTGTTGAAACGATGTCAAATAAAAGATTAGACATACATCCCTATATATGGAGACTACACCTGACTCAACGAAATGTCGAAGCCTACTTTAAGCACAAATTTTACATCCCGCTTCACTCGGAAATAGGCTCGCTTGACTTTGTAAATAATTTTAAATGAAGATTCTTTTAAAAGCAATTAGGTGCAATTGTTCCGTTATAGACTTTATTTCTATTATTATTCTAACACATAGATATTGATACAAGGAGCATCAAATACATATGCGCCACACAGATCTCATTTGATATGTGTGAGGGCTATGATACTGCCTGGGTGCCCAGACCGAAACAGGTGGTTTTCTTAGGGGGACACACCTGAAGGTCTGATCCGCGAGTCAGTGGAGCATCTTAAGGAGATGCAGTCCCATGGAAGCCCGTGACCAATAATTGGTTCATACGCCATCTGTTCCCTCAGGATACTGGAGCCCATGTGCATAATTGGTTTGGAATCAGGGTTTTCCAACTCCCCTAGGTGGATTCTTCATGTCCACCAACCCGGTTAAAGCTCCGAACATTCGCTTTTCGTCCTCTCAATTTCGCAAACAACACATTGGACGCGAGAAGGCACTTATGGACTCATGTTCGTTTCATCTACACAATGTCAATTCCATAATGTTTGTTTTGAATTCAACAAAAAAAATATTTGAGATAACACAATAGATGATCACTTAATTTGATCTTTTGTGGGTAAACATTTACACTGTCGCGTCTAACAATAACATGCTCATCATTTCTAATTTAGAATTTACACAACCATTGACGTTTGTTTGCAGATCTTACAAGCAAGGTCACTAATTTAATACATCGGAATGGGAAGATATCTATCTATTATGAGAACGTAAGTTGAACAATCGAATGGAAATAAACTTTTGTTTCACGTACTATAGATTATTCTACTCTTTTCTGCATAGCAATACGCTTGAATATATCAAGATACATTTAACACGATAGAAAGAGATCAACGTTTTGAAATGTGCAAACGGAGTGAATGACACTTTCATAGTTTCTTAAATGACACACACTTTATTCACCTACATCCTAAGAAAGTAAATAATTAGAAGTGAATTACCATCAAACTAAACGATGATGTCTTTGAGGCAAATAGGAAACCGTACGGAAACAGTCATTTTCTGTCAAACCCTATTACGTCTTCTGAATATAAGATGTTCAGAAATTACACTGCTTTTAGTGGCCCGTTATCTGATTCCATTTCAGATTGTATGGATGAATGTTTGCTATCGTCTATTCTCGTATATAATCGTCGACTTAAATCACGTTATCCAATAACGGAATTAAATAAGTCAATTAACGAGAATGGCCTTTGAATACATATATTTTGTAAGTAAAGTGAATGTAATAGAACAGAGCAAAACGACGCGCGTGGAAGATGGCTGGGAAGCCAACTCCATTTTAGTCAAGAGTTACTCCATATTTATAGGTTGACAAAATAAAGCTACAGACATGTGATTAATGCGATAAGAAGGGCACACACATATACGCTCATATAAAAACAGTCAGGACTGATAAGCGAATAATTAACGAATATGACTCAAGTAAAATGAATTAAATAGGATGTCCACAAGTTAGAATAAGGTAGATGGGCTTGCCATAATAACTGACACTACATAGCCCCCTTGTAGAAAATAGCACATTTAAAAAATGTCTGTTTTCGAAAATAACACTGAAGTGTATGAAGTTAACGTTAGCAACAAGTAGCGAAAAAAAATTGTACAACACTCGATAAAGTACAGTAGTGTCACATGAGCGGTGAGTGTATTATATGAAAATGTCATATTTATGTAAAAGAATATATGAATATCAAAAAGGCGCGGACAAAAATGGGAACGTTAACATGCGAATATGAGCAATTTAATGAGCGTACAAAAATTAACATCTAATAATGCTGTGACTGTCTGAACGATAAAATAACACGTTCATATGAGCGATTCAAAATATCGTGAAAATAGTAATAAATTGTTTGTGGATATGACAGCGAAATAAATTGTGAAAATAAGTAGAGTATAATGTGACAGAAATTGATCTGTGATGCTGACAAAATAGTGAGATATGTTAAATATATGTTCTGTTGAGCCGCAGTAAAATAGGTAGCATCGATTAGTGATGAGTGAATTCGAATTTAAATGAGTAGTTCCCCATTCGTAGAATGATAATAGGCAAGTCGTGAAATGATAACTGCATTGACGGGTGATATTCGTTGCTGTACTGCAATTGATAATAATCATAAAATGTGAAGTCAGTGAACGTTGTCGTCTGCGTTATGACAGATGCATTGAGTTATCGTTAAGTATGTATTAGTAGAATGACCAGAGGAACAGAATAGTGACTGAGTAGACGAAGTACGTAGAGTCGTATTCCTTTTTGGTCATGAAGCCTAGAGTGGTTTGTGTGGTTTGAGGGAGATGCGCTCGATCTCGCTTGTTACAAAACCGTACCAAGGCATGACAAAAATACCAATACATATGATTAGCGATGGCGACGTATGAGACTGACTTGGATGTAACGAACAAGAGTGTATCTTTGAGAGACTAGCTCTAAACTCTATGTTCTGATATACCGTGCGATGGGTATAGAATAGTAGTTGCAGTACTGGAATAATGTTTTGGGGAATTAATGATGCGGCATGCTGTTATGCATGTGAAAGAATAGATAAGATGAACGTAATGGTTTCTAATCAGCTAGTTAGATGCATCCACAGACATAATAGGAGGCGATGAAGAATGTGTGTTATGATAACATAAAATAATGACCTCGACTAAGTGAATGAATGTAATATTAGATCAAATGACATGAAAAAAAAATTGGAACGAACTCACTTAAAGCAGGAAAATTTCACGTTTTTGAATAGTAAAAATATTCCAGTGAGTTTTGAATGTCAGAAAGTGGAGTATTCATAAAATGATAATCTGTTCGGTGAGCGATATGATTGCGAAAATGTCATAATTTAATGACAGCATGAACATGATTATTAATTCCACATTCGGTTATGATATTGAGAATAATGTATTAATAAGCATATAATGATAATTCGAATAGTAATGGTGCAAACCGACGAATGGATCAATGAGAATAGTTGACATGAGGACAAAGTAACAATAAGATAATACGACTTGAGCATGTCCATGTCATACTGCACAGGTTTTGCTGAGTGCGTCGGATTGGAGATCGTGCTGGCTTCGCTGAATTTGTTCGCCGAACGTATAGAATGCAGAAGTTCCTTCATCGACGTAGCTTGCTGCGTTGCGTTCGTCGTCGGCGGGCTTACCAATGTATAGGCCCGTAGTTTCGTCGTCGTTAAGGTCGGACGATGTTCGTTGAAGGGCTCACCATTTTAGTGGCCCTTTACGCGCAGGGAAGATGGCTGGGAAGCCAACTCCATTTTAGTCAAGAGTTACTCCATATTTATAGGTTGACAAAATAAAGCTACAGACATGTGATTAATGCGATAAGAAGGGCACACACATATACGCTCATATAAAAACAGTCAGGACTGATAAGCGAATAATTAACGAATATGACTCAAGTAAAATGAATTAAATAGGATGTCCACAAGTTAGAATAAGGTAGATGGGCTTGCCATAATAACTGACACTACATGCTGAATATTATTAGTGCCTTTGTGTTTAAACTGTTGATTAGTTCATAGCGTTTGATATTTCCAAAACTTCTTATCAGATTCCTACGGAAATCAAAAACAGGCAGCTGCAGACAAAGATTCAAAGTGCAATGAGTTGTGATCGTAAATCTAATTGTAAGAAATTTTGCTAGTATTTTGATGTACATTATTCTTTGTCAACATAGTTCAGTTTATGTTGTTTTAGTTTACATTCATACTCAGTTATGAACATGTCAACAGCGTGACGTTTTTGTTTTCGCTCAAAATGATCTTATAAAAATGTTTACAATGATTCGAAAGTAAGACAAATTGATCGAAGTGCTACTGAAATGTTAGACATGGCCGTACAAATCGAAATCGAAATGCTTTTCGTAAACGCTCTGTCCATACATTACTGTATACTGAATATCCAATGTCAATTATATGTTTACACTTCTGGAACGGACATTTTGTTGTTATAGTTGATAAAGAATCATGGTGAAAATTAATCATGAAAATGTCGAACAATATTTCTATGCATTTGACTGTATTGAGATCAAATTACCTTTGCCTTCAACCCAACAACCGTCATATATGTTACCGTTGTGAAATGGTTTTGAGTTGTTTTGGTGAATTTGCAATATTGTAGTTTCAATTGTCTATGATAAATTGCATCGAAAAGGAATCTGAAGATGCGTAATTTGATTACCAAATTACTACATATGCACTCGTGTATTCACTCACTCACTCACTCACCCACTAAACGACGAGCGTGTAACGAGTTAAACACATGTTTTGAAGATGTTTTGCTGATACTATTGCAAACTAAATCTGTAATTTAACGACATCATTTTCCGATTGCTGGTTGAACACCGGTCATATTTGAAACCAGTATTTTTGTAAAGTATATTTTGTTAGGATGCTGCTCCAGCGTATCTGTATCCGTAATCAGAAAAATTCATTTTTTTCATTTGTCTTTCATGAAATCCTGTAGATGAATAGTTGTTAATTTAAAGGTTAATCAAATGTGTCTTTTTTATACAATTAGTTATGAAATCACCCGAGTTAAGTGTTACCAGTATATGGATCAAAAGTGACACGCTGGTGGAGTTTGAACCAATCGAGAGTATGTTAAACCTTGTTTATTCATCACTTACTATTTTTAAACTTGAATAGATGACATCGTTTTCATCGAATTACAAATGCCATGTGTCATTTTAATTGGCTATTTGATGATATCCTGTCATGTTTCTCAGTGACGTTGCACTTACCATTAATAATTACACATCGATTTACTGTTGATTGTTGAAGATAACTAAGGAACCATTTGGAACTACTACAGGTGTATTCACTTCGATGAAATTTACTGTGAAACGTCGCCACAGGATGATGGATAGGATGATATAGGTCTCGAAAATGTTTATCATCAGCTAGTACATTGCGTGCTGACGAGAATGTTCCCATTGTTTTTGCAATATCGAATTTTTTTGAGATATTGAAATCGCGAATGCTGAGAATTCTATGTTGCACCAAAAATATAATGTTGAATAAAGCTTCTTATAATAATAAGAATAATTATTATAATTATAATTATATTAAAAATAGTTGACACAGTTGCTGAGATCACCTTCCTTTGGTATTTTGACCAGAAGTCCTTCTTTCCAGTCTGTTGGTACTTGTTTCTTATCCCAAATCTTTTTGAAGAGAATGTGAAATATCCTTGCAGTTGCCGCTACGTCTCCTTTCAGTGCCTCTGCTGGAATGTTGTCTGGCCCTGCTGCTTTGCCACTCTTGATTTGTCTGATGGCAATGCTGATTTCTTCAGTTGTTTGTGAGTCGACATTGATTGGTAGGTCCGTCGGTGCTGCATCGATATTGGGTGAGTTCAGTGGGGCTGGTCGATTCAAGAGTTCTTTGAATTTTTCTACCCACCTGTTTCGTCCAAGTTTTGCTCGTTCTAGTTATTGAAGTACGGACTATCGATCTACTTGCAAATTACGAACCCAAATCGATAATAGAAGCGTTTCGAATACTGAGAGAATCATTCCACAATCAATTGTGCAGATCACCTTCAGCATTTATCGAATAAAATGTCACAAATTGTCAAAATATTTTTAATAATCGAACATGTCTGACACTAAACATGTGTGACGAGAGTGTCCTAGTGAAAGTAGAAGCAGACGCTTTACTCAGAAAGCACCATATTGGGACGGAGTTTAGGTTACACATTTTGTTATTCACTTATTTCTTGTTTGATAATTTGAAATGCAGTCACCCTATTTTTTCCGTAGGGAAGTGTTCAATTCACAATTCGACTGGGGAATGCCAAAATGCGACAACATCAAATATGAGATGTATTTGGTGTGAAAGAGCTAATATGTGCATTAATAGCAATGATAAGGATACTCATGAATTGAAAGTGGACGATTGCCTTATTAAAGTAAGTAATTGTTAAACTTCATAGGTTGCCCTAAATGTTGCTATATTTCACATTGCAATTCCTCTAACTCAAAAGATCATTTTGTTACTTCAAATACGTACTGATTCGTTTATGAATAAAAACGTTGTTTAGCATTAATGCTTGGAGTCATATTAATTTATCAACCAGGTGATTTCAGAAATCAAATATGACACCGTATATCTATGTTGTGATCAAAACTGAAAATAACGTAAAACGAATGATGAATTATTTGAATAACACACTATGTTGAGAAATAATGTTACCGTTTTGTTTTTCTTCAGAACACGACCGTAAACACACACGTGTCCGAACACAATAAACACAATAACACACTTTATTACCTGTATATTGTGATACCAATTGTCGTCTCAGTCTGCGTTGTGTGCGTTGGATGCTTTATTGGTCGGTGTTTGTATAAGAGAAAGAATAGTAATTCATGATTCTCAAAAACTTCATATCACTTGTTTTTAATAATTTGACCGAGTTGTTTTCACTTCGTAATTCATCCAATAACTTCACATTTTGTTCTCCGTTCCCATTTGCTGGACGCATTTCTTTATGCAACTTTGAATCAGTTTTATGGTTGTTAACATGATAACTGATGTAATTTTGTTGATAAAATATTGATAGTCGTTTTTAACATTTACATGATTGTTTTAATTCAATAAAAATCAATAATATGACAAAAGTTTTACGGCGTTTGATATGTGAATTGGCAGTATTCTGTTTACGAAGCTTAGTGATAATTGCAATCAACAATTGTTCCGTTGCGAATGTCTATTTCGATTAGGTCCTACTTCTAAAAGATACCACTTGAAGTTTACAATGGTCGTTGTTTTAAATTGAGCTGTTAAAATATTGTATCTGTATTAAATTGGACACTTCCATCCTTCGTTACATGAGTAGGCACTAACTGGTTAGTGCTGGATGACAAACTATAGTTAGTTAGATAATATGACGATTGAATGTGAAATATGTCTAAAGAGTTGGGTATATACTCAAGTAGGGATGAGAAAAAGCATAGACTGCTCAACTTAGTAACAGTTTTATCGTAAAATCATTGAGTAGGATAATAGTGCTGAAGGACAATCACTACAATATTTCTACCACTTGATGAGCACTTTGTTGTACACTATATATTTAGTAGTTATTCTCACCCACATGTAGTTGTGAAAAAGGATGTTGCGAAAATTCATTCGTACTGTTTGTTTGAACGTTTGCGTTGATGTTAAAGACTGCCGTTGATCGGTTACTTTACGATGTGTTTAAGTCGTGTTTGAATAGCCTCAAAAACCCCATTACGTTACGAGTAATAAAAACAGAGATGAATGATATCTAACAGTGGAACGCCAGAAACGTGTTACTTTTTCGTAATTGAGACTCGTTAACTGGATGTGCCTGAGTCACAGAGTCGATGTTCACTCCAGACTCTATCACGTCATCTGTTTAGTTACTCAGTTTAGATACACACCAGCTTCACAAAAAGTTTCAGTGAAGCACATATAGTTGTGCAAAGATTTCGGAAATGTTTGTCATGTGGTAAACTGCATTACCAAAAATCATGCCCGTTTGTCATGCCGACTATTCAACTCGTAACAGACATCAACATAGTAATTTAGTATGCAAAAGCAATGTTCATTTTGCATCTTGTCATACTAAATCACTTAATTTTAATCCCAATAAAAGTGAGGTTATTGATGATCATATTTTATTTTAGTGTTCGAAATGTTTGTTTCCCGAGTATAAGAGACCACATACCTACTCTGGTTTATTCCATGATTTTATTGTTGGCACTAGCGATATACTGCTCATCATTTCAGTCGTTGTTAAGTCAGTAAAAAGTCTTAATCTGGATTTATCTTTGACAGGTTTAAATAAGACCACATTGCTCTAATTAAAGATTCGAAAGCTGTGTGCTTTTAGTGATTTGAAGATAGGGCCTCAGAATTTCACACTGAACTTTCGGTTTTTCTTGTCGTATCAACTTTTTACTTGGCATTTTTTCATTCAATTACTTAATGTGATATGCAGGAATAACCTCTTGCCTTGGATAGTCATTAAAAACTTCTCTAAAATGATGGTGTAATTTAAACATAATCTGCTTAAACAGAATATGTAATTACAACCTAGAGAGTCGGATTAATTTTGAGAAATTATTCAAAACGTTACTACACATCAGGTGTTATCAAAACAGATTTAAACGCCAATGTGAAATGTAGATATCCGGAATATTATTTTTGACGATCTCTATATCAGATATTTTGGGTATGGCACACGTTTTGATGGCTGAATGTACAATCGTATATATATTACAGAGCTAACGACTGCGATAGATATGATGGGACAAAAAGTTATCGTTCAAAATTGGCTCAATGACAAGTGTCATCTCAGTCCCGGGAGAGAATCAAACCGGTGTGCTTATCAGTACTTTAAAATTGTTACTAATCAGCATTTTGACATCTGTTATTTGTGATCATCACAGATGAGCACTCACTGTGGATTTGGACAGAATAGTAGTGGATAGAGTGTTACTAACACATAGGTGGCTGATATATTTGTGTATGGAATAGTGCACAGTTCTCGTCATGCATTCGTGTTATCCAATTGACAAATGTACTTCGAATTCCGTTGACCTGTAAATAAGTTAATCTTATCCAACCAGTTATCAAACTTATATTGAAGTCGTGTTTACTTTCAAATTACCGCTTAGAC